CAAAGTATCTTTATGGATTTCGACAAAGCCTTTGAAAGTATCTATCAGTTTGTTTGTTTGTGCTGTTTGGTGATAATATCTGCCGGTTTCCAGGTCAAATGTTTATTTTTAATCCGGACGACGATGGTGCGGTTCGACTACATGTGGTGTGTTTGGTGTGGTGAGGTGAGGTGGTGGTGTCTACTATGCGCGACGGTTAAAGTTAAAAATAAGGAAATTAGCAAAAAAGTAAGTAAATATGTTAACAAGATTTTTGGTCCGTGACACTAAGCGTAGCTGAGCCTTTATATTAAAATATGTTCACCACAAACAAGAGAATCAAAACCAATTTTAATTGTATGTAAATTATTTTGAAATGGAACGAGAAGGCGTAATACAATTTCCGAATGAACAGCAAAATAATGATTTTAAATATTGATAATTACCACCTTTGGGAAACAACTACCGATGTTAAATTTTGACCGAGAAGACATAATTTACCGAATATTCTAAAAAAAAAAAAAAGAATTAAAATTTAAAACCCTTAACCATAAAATATACACTCTCTGATAAACAAATTGTAATTGGCGATTAAAGAGGCTAGAAGCCAAGGTTAAGGCGCATTTATTTGGAGAAACTAATTTGAGAATACTTGGTACTTAATAGCTTATACTAATAATGGAAGCCGGCAACTTTAGTCGAAATTGAAGTTTATCAAATATAACATATTTTAATGATATGGCTTAATGGATAATTTTTCATTATACCCTGAATATTAAAAATGTTCAAAATCACTTCTAGGCTCACTAATTCTTATCATTTATGTCTCCATAAAATAATTAACTATTAAGCACTTCTAAAAATGTCGAAACCCATAGCAGCTAATATCTTTATTGTATAGTTTTCTATAGAATAAAATAAGTGTTACTCATTGAAGATGACTCATTTACTGTAAGAAATTGGAAAATATAATACACAGTATTAATATGAAATACAATCATTAGGCTTTTATAGCTAAATACATTATTTTCACGAGTTTGTGTTTAAGTTTTTTTTGTCATATGAGTAATTGACATTGATATTGAATGAACCCAAATGTTATTCTGATATTATAGTAAAATCTTGTTTCTCAAATAATTATTATAATTTTACTATTATTAGTAGTGGAATATATTTTGATGTATATCAAAGAGAATCAAAACATATAATTTACACATGTTTGAAGGTCGACAATTTTCGAAAGTTTGTCAAAATAATCTAAATTGTTCTTTTCTTTTCTCTGATATCGATATTTTATTAAATCTAAATTATTTGATGCGTATCCAAGAAGATATAGCTTTTATCATGATGTGTTTATATTTTTTTTTTTGTGCAATTCTTAGACCAGAAATCATACCTGTAAGGTAATTTAAGAGACCAAACATTATAAAGTCACCCTTTCCTCTTTAAATTGGAAATCTTTCAACAAATTTACATTATTTTAACTTTAAAGTAATTTTAAGTTTAATTTAATTTATTTTTTACAAAATTATTTTTAACTTAAAAAGGTAAGATAATAATGTATAGGTTACCATTTAAAAAATGATATTCATAGGGTCTTAACACACAAAGGATGGGATTTTGTTGATAAAAAATTAGCAAATTTTGGCCAGCCATCGACTATGAAAGTATGAAAAAGAAGAATTTAAAAAGGTATTCTACGTTTTATAATATTCGCTCGGTCATAATTAACCAATCACCTTATATAATTTATATACACTGTTAAATCAGTATAATTGAACAATGGTTTATATTATTCATAAAAAGTCTATACTATTGCATTTGAATAAAACGAGATTCATTAAATTATTAAAATGGTTAGTATGAATTTTATTTTTCGAGAAAACGGGGTTACGATTTTCAATAGAAGTAAGATGAAGGACTGAAATGTAACGTATATGTCTTGCAAATATTAGTTATTTGAGACATTTTTCTGTAAAAAAGTTTTTTACTTAGGTACACCGGCTTACGACCTACTATATTTTATTTTCACGGTTGTCGTTAACACCTTTTGTCGTTTAACCTTGGCTTAATCAAATATACGCACGTGCTTCAGTTGCAAAATTTTAATAGTTTCCAAATAATGTTTTACATAAAATACGATCTAATACAAACAAACAATTTGTATTGGTTACCGTCTCCACTGTATTTTATCATTATGGAATGAACCCTTTTTGATAATTTTATGTGGTTATTTATCATAGTTTTATTTTGCCATAATTATTTTCTTACATGAAAACATAATATTCATAACACTTAGTTGGTTAGGTTTTTTATTTAAAAAAACCACATTTTCTCATGTTTTCGTGTAAGAAAACAAATAGACGATTATTTGGTAAAATAAAACGATGATAAGACCGTGTAATATTTTCAGAAGGTTTTATAAGAATATGAAAAAAACAAAGGGAACGGTACCAATATATTTTTTTTTTTTTTGTCTTTTGCCTAAGTAAAATGTAACCGTTTAGCATTTGCACTTGTAATTTTGCCGAACTCTATTTTTTACACCACAGTTGTTCCACGTGCGCTAAAATATGTTGTTCAAGATTTTCGATGTACATATATTTTATATATTTATATTGCAAGCATTTATGTACAAATAACAAGTAACTGTTTGAACAAATATCTACCTATGCAAAACATCACATTAAAATGTATTTTTTTTCTAAATTTTGCAAGCAAAAATAAATAACAATAGTTACAACGTGATTTTAATACGTTCCCGCATAGGAAAATAAATACGCTATTATTTAGGAAAATAATACCGACAATAAAATCCAAATGATATTATCAAATGGTTTCAAATGAAGATATAACAGAAAACTGTACAGTAGGGCCGGGGCATAGTGAGAACTGACCATATTATAACTGAAAGTGATAAAACCATTTTCAAATAAGCGCTTCGACGCGAATCAGTACACGGCAGGAGTACAAATATCATTAAAAGCTATATCATGATAAAAATGTGCAAAACATTGTATTTTTAGTTAAAGTCATAGGTACCACATTTACTGGGTGAGGGGGGAGTAAGGGACAATTCGTTGCCCTGGTTGGAGATCTTTTTTTCTAAATTGTATACAACTGATTGGAAATATTTGTTTTTCAATGAAAAGAAATATCATATTATATGTACAGCCTGTCCAGATTTTTTTATTTTGGCTACATCGGCATGCAAAAGTCAAATTATGATAGAATAGCACTTGTGGCTTGCGTATATTTGATTAAGCCGAGGTTAAACGGCCAAAGGTGTTAACACCAAACCGTAAAAATAAAAAATGGTAGGTTGTAAGCCGGTGTACCTAAGTAAAAAAATAATTTATAGAAAAATGTTTCATATAACTAATATTTTCAAGACATTCATGATACGGTACATTTGAATCTTTCATCTTACTTCTAATAAAAATCTTAAATCCGTTTTCTCGAAAAATAAAATTCATATTAATTACTATAATAATAACTTATTGAATCTCCTTTGATTCATATGCAGTAGTATAGATTATTTATGAATAATAAAAACCGTTGTCTATGTATACTGATTTAACAGTGTATATAAATTATATATGGTGATTTAAAATAGTTTTAAAATTTAAAAAAAAATAAATACTATTTATTGTACCCATAGAGCATCCTGAATTTGTCATTTGAAGCTCGGTAGAACTTTACATTACACCCTGTATATAACATAATATAATATATCTGTAGCAACTGTGAATATGTGTGTAGTCGATTTCAGTGATTTTACAGGGGAACGATTTTAAACTGACCAGCTGCCATAATCAGGAACTCACATTTCTCTCAAGGTTTTCTTGTTGGTTGAGTTAGACATTTATTCAAGGTGTGCTAAAAAATGCAAATTCGACTTACTCACTTATTCACAGTTGTTACAAATATATTGATCAATTATTGTAGCGACAAAGTTAATACATACACTATGTTGTACTGATTTGTGTGAATAAAATTATTAATACAAGTAAATTAATAACTTTCCTTTTAAAATTGCACTAAATTAATGTTTGCTGATGATATCAAAATTTTCCGTAAAGTAAATTGTAAAGTTAATGCTGACTTACTTCAGTCTGATCTCAATAATTTTTATAAATGGTGTACTATCAATAACTTTTCTCTTAATATCAATAAATGCCAATTAATGACTTTGTGCAGGGCTCGAGTGGTTCCAAATGTTATTTATTATATCAATGGTGAAATACTACATAGGACTTTGGGACCTTGGTATTCTTTTTGACCATAAACTTAAATTTGACTGTCACATTATTAACAGGTCAAATAAAATATTAGGCTTTATTAATCGAAATTGTGCCGACTTTACTGATAAACATGCCTTAAAATCCTTATATTGCTCTTTTATACGTTCTATTCGTGAATATGGATCAGCAATATGGTCTCCTTAATAATTTAATCTTAAATGCAAATTAGAAAAAGTTCAACAAAAATTCTTGCACTTCCTCTCATTTAAATGTTCAATACCCAGGGAACCTCATTCTTCTTACTCTCCATTTTTGTCTCTTCTTGACCTTGAAACAATGAAACAACGTCGTTTGCGTTTAGATTTAGATTTTTCATATACCTAAGCTTTTTGTCGGCATTATTGATTGTTCTGAATTTTTAAGTCGTTTTTCCTTTCACGTTCCTACTCGAAGTACTCGGTCTAAAAATATATTTTATCTAAATATAGAAGTAAATAATTGTGCAAGTAATACCCCAAGCAACAGAATAATGAAAACCATAAATTAATTAAAAATTGATGTGTTCATCTCACCCAATTTCCATTCGTTTAAAACTTATTGTAATTTAATACTTAAAAATTCTAGTTAATAATTATCAATACATTGTATCACACTTATTGTATTCTTATTGTAGCATACTATTTGTTTACGAACCACGAACGATTGTATTTTATTATTTTTATGTAATTGGGCAAGGCCCGTTTAAACTTAAATAAATAAATAAATAATATTTTACAGTATGATGGTAGTCGTCTGAAGCTTATCGACATGCTTATTCATTAGAATGGTTTGATTGCTGAAACTATCTCTAGTCTGATTGAATGTGGTAACAACAGGTATGGTATTTTTTTTGGAAAATTGTTTTAATTGCTTTAATCTCTATTATTTTAAAAATTAACATTTCAACGTTTAACTTATTTATTAATAATATATCTTTCAGTTTTAAGATGAGTCAAAGATGATGGTTGAACAGTTCTCCATTGACACTAACTGAAAGAAATAATTGTTTTATTATTTGTCTAAATAGAATAGGTAAGGAGAACACTCTAGATTCGTAGTATTAATAGCAATATTGATACAATAGTAATTTAATTTCAATCTAAAATACCCTAACCTAGGATATCTAAAAAAAAGAAATCAAATGTAAATATTTTTTTTTAATAATATAATTTACTATTTTCTAATATTGTTTTATTGTAAAAGCAAAATTGCATTTACTTGTACATCTTACGCTTCATTGGTATGAGATGACTAACTAGGTCCACTTGATATATACCGGTCACAAATATAGTCTATTCATGAAATCACTCTTTTAAGTATTATTGATTTAAGTTGAATAGTATAGAACGTTGGAAGTTAAATGCTATAAAAAAATTTCATTATCAGTTATCATTATATTTAATTTTAACTTTACAATTAACAAACGATAACATTAGTAAAATCATTTAAAATTGGTTTTACATTATAATTATTATTACTATTATTTAACCATTTGGTTTTTTTTAAGCAGATCTCGATGAGATCGAGATAAGAGCAGTATAATAATTACTAATCAGTAGTAATACCTACTTACAAATATATAAAATACTGTAACTTGCACTTGTATCTATTTATTTTATATGTATAGTTCTATTTTTTTATAATATAAGAAAAGTATACATGCTTAATAAATAGAATGCAGACAGAATTAAGAACAGAAAACGTTTGTTTCGTAGCAACAAACAAGGACAAGAGAAAATTATACAGTAAATTAACCTATTCTAAGTTCTAAGAATAGGGGCACTATGCTCGCAGCCACTGTTAACACAATAAACACTGGCCAATGGCCAAAAATTAAATTAACCACTATTTCACACTTTATATGTAAATTAATAAATTTTTTCGGTACTATTTTTATGTTAAATTCAAGACCTATCACATGCAGTAGAAATAAGTAATCGCTCACAATGTGTATACTTTTGTTTTATAGTATTTTAATGTAATTTTAAAGTGTGATCAAAGGAATGCATGTTTTTGTTTTGGTTCTACTTTCATAAAAAATTTAACTAAAATAATAGAATCATGAAGAAACTTAAATAAAAATAATTAAAGATGTAGTAATTATAAGAAAAAATGAAACAATAAATAACAACACAATCTTGTTCAGACGTGTCTTAAAAAGATAAATAAAATCCCCAAGCTGTTATGTACAAAATATTCAGGATACTTTTGTGTGGTATTAAAACTTTAAGTTCATTGTAGAGACTTGGTTATCGCTAAGCAAATGGCCATATTAAACGAATAAGTACATAGATTAATAAAATATGGGCTATGTAATCTTCTGTAAAAATACATTTTCAAATCAAAAGATAATTGAAAAATTGCAAATTTATATTGACCAAAAATTTAATCATATCTTTTAATAATTTGAATAACTATGACTGAATAAATTCATATTGTTTAATTTGGTTTATTTAATAAAAATATATACCCAGAGTAGCTTAATATAAACTAATTTCTATAAAATATTAAGTGAGTAATAATTATTTTAAAAACCTACTAATAGATTATAAATAACATTCAGTATTGCAAGGTATTTTAATACCGACATTTAAATACATTATTTGATATTGAATACTATTTTTGATAATTCGTTATTAATTATTTAATTATTATATATAATTTGTATGCCATGGGATACTATTTAGTTATAGTTTTTCTTTTTTTTTAAATTCAGTAAGACAATCAGTCTGATTTGATAATCTCACCAACATGTAAACAAGTTTGCATTAAAAAGCATCATAATTTATTAAGTATGAAGTTTATACGATTACGACCCTAGTTTAATCATTTTTATTAATATAATAGAATTGTTTAATCTAGTTTACAGTAATTGTATATTATGTCATATTCTTATTAACTGCCTATTATCCCATGCATTTTGTTTCCTCTTCACAAGTCTTAATCCGGCAATAGGTCCACTTTGGACTATATACTTATAATGTATATATTGATTTGTGTAAAAACTTGAAAATTAAATATGTATTTTATTCTAGTTATTTAAACTACAAGTGTCATATGTTCCATTTTCCTAGCTCTAATATATCCTTTGGTACCAAATTTTGTTAATAATATATCTTATAAAGCTTATAAGCTCCTACCTGTATTCTTTAACTACAGAATACATATGTAAGATGTGGTAAAACTAATTTATAATTGACAGCCGAAATTCTGAAATAGTCAACTAATTTAGGTAAAAAGTAAAAATAATGTTTTATTCATATAGTAATATAAATAATTTGTAGGAAATTTTAATAAAACTATTATTATTATATACCAAATAATATTAAATTACAACATATACTTATAAGTTAGGCATAAACTATAATATTGTGTAATTTATTATGAATTTTACATCATATCATTTTACGAGTATAGTGTACATGATTTTAATTAGAGAATTGGTAAAGATCTAACTACAATTTGCAATACAGATAAAAATCTAACAAAAGGCAATGTTTTTGGTATTAAAATACGACATTTCTCTTGGTGGATTCTTGTTAAAATCGATGTTGGTACTATATGTACTATTGCAGATTTTTAAGGTTATGTAACATTTATTTCTTATCACGCGTTATCATCTTTTGGAAGAGCTGGCCCCAACTCTAATTTATATGTGTTGATACTTTTTGGTTTTTGGTATACATCAAAATATATTCCACTATTGATAAAAATAATATTCTAGTCTCTATGATCGCTAATCGCAATTTGTTAACATTTAGTAAAGTGTGTCTTCTCGGCAAAAAGTTCACATTGGTAGTTTTTTCCCCAATGGTGGTAATTATCAATATTTAAAATCGTTATTTTGCTTTTCATTCGGGGATATTTTATTGCGCCTTATCGTCCCATTTCAAAACAATTTACATACAATTAAAATTGTGTTTTATTCTTCTGGAGAACATATTTTAATATAAAGGCTACGCTTTGTGTCATGGACCAAAAATAATGTTCACTTATTTACATATTTTTTTTTTTGCTAATTTCTCTATTTTTAACTTTAACCGTCGCGCTTTGCAGACACCACCACCGCACCTCACTTCGCAAAAACACACCACACTTGCCGCAGTCGCACCGTACCGTCGCCGCCCGGATTAAAAATACACCGTTGACCTAGAAACCGGCAGATATTATCACCAAACAGCACAAACAAATATTGCCGCGATCAGTCGGACGAAAACTGATCGTTAGTTAATTCAATTGATATTCAAGAAATTTAAATTTAAAAATACAGCCCTTCCTTACCGAGGAAGGGTATTTCACACCAGCGAACAACCTCGAACAGGTCCAATTTGAACTAAGCTTCGCCATTTTTACCGCCAAGATAGTCGTCTTGGATACCCAGTCCCATGCTGCTGTCTTAGATACATGTTCAACCGACCTCATGGAGGACACTGGGTATAACCAAATAACCCCATCCTGGCTATTAGGGAGAGTTTTGGCTATTTTATTTTTTTCACATCTCCTAACATAACAGGTAGGTTGATAAGATAACATTTTTGTTATATTTATACACCAAACAGGGTGTCCCCACCTCAGGATATCCTTACATCCTTTCCACCCACCCCAAAAAACATGTTAGTTGTGTGAATAAGTTTGGTTACCATACACGATATAGAAGGATTTTCTAATCCCTTGAGTAAATGTAATGTATAGTATGTATAGCGTATGGACATTTTTTGTTCATTTAAACAAATAATATTATTATAATAACATTCATCGTTCGCTATAATGTTTTTGTTTTTGTGCGATCGATGGTAAATAAAAATTGTTCTGCATATTTCACATAAGTAAATATTCAGTATTTTTCTGGCTTACAGCTGTACATTTGGGTCAAATAACAAATCTTTAAGTATTTAATATGTAAATGAAATAAAACAAAAAACAACTACCGACCAAAAGTTTCCATCTCTATACTTATGTCGGTTTTTATCGATCACAACCATATATAAAAGACACCCCGAATTGAATCAAACACAACTGTTCATCCGACTTTGGTATCCAAGACTTACTTCTGGTTTGAAAAAAAAAGCATTATGCATATCAAAAGTGCTGTTATCCTTTGTGCGCTGTACTTCGTAACCGTGACACAGGTTAGCATAAAACATAATAATAATTATAATTGCAATAAGAAAATATATATATATTAATTGTATGTGTTATAATATCATTGTACTTGTGATACTTTCTAGAGTATCGGACTCTCTAAAGGTCAACTCGAACATATAGTTAAGCTATTCTGTGAGTACAAAAAAAGTAATAACTTGATTCCCATGGAAGGTGTCACGGCACTGATGGAAAAAATGAGAGTGGAAAATAATTCAGATTTTAAATTAAACGAAGGTAATAAACTATCTTTTTAACTGGATTTAAACTTTTCGAGTGTAATCAAATCTTTACCAAACCCTCCGAAAAATGTTCTGTAAAATATAATATCCGTCTTTACAGTGCTTAGCATATTTTTAATTTAACGCACTCGTCTTGGCCAACTCGATTGAAAATTGTTTAGAATTTGTTTTCTATTTTTTTTTTCTTAACTATAGATAAGACTAACGATCAAAACGCACAAGATTTTATGGTATTTTTGGCCACTAACGAAAAGGGAACTGACAGCTGGACGGTAATAACAAAAAAAAAATATTAAACAATTTCAAATTAATCTGATTTTCTTATTTCCATACATGTTTTTTTACACAGGACCAAAGTGTAACATCTTTCGAAGTGTTAATTTTAGTTAGTCTGTTCGATAAACGCGACCGAATGGGCACTCCAGATGGTCTACTTAACTACGAAGAAGTAATGGAAGTCGTCGACGCTTTAATTCTAACAAGTGAAATCAGAAAGTTTTTAGGAGGCGAATTTCATGAAGGTATTATTGAGTTAAAGAAGCGGATTATTATGGTGCCAAGGTTGATAATTTAAATTATTTTTTATAGGTTATGAATATAACGCTGTAGAAGTCGTGGACGGCTATTTGACTGAAAAAACAGATGTAAGAATTTATAGTTTCGTTAAAGGCTTGACAAAAATACACATATTACTATGCTTTTTTTTCCTGATGTCACTTTTAAAAATGTCCAAGGGAAATATTATAACTTTGTACATTTAAGCGCATTAAATCACTTAAATAAAAACCCAAACTTCCTTCGTACACTAAATATTTATATGGTTATATACTTGTACTTAGGGCAAAGGCTTAGACTATAACCAGATTAAGCAGCTGAACATCATTAAAGATTTTAAAAAAGATGGCGTACACATTGATGATGTTGAAATAACAACCTTTTACAAAAAATTATCTCTAGTGAAAGATGAGTACAAAAGCCTTTTGGATTTAAAGACCACTCGTAAGAATATATTTTTGATATTATCTAGTTTTTTATAATTAACATTATATGCAGATTTCGCAAAAAAACTTTTTATCTATTCAAAGCAATAAATAAAATATTATCTTTCACTTATTCGAATTTTATTATTTACATATTTATGAAAAAATTAATCAACTTGTAGGTAAGGAATTATGTAAAACCAATATTATTCCTAATATGCAGTTTATTGATGTTTTAAATTAATCCAGATAAAGTAACATCAATAAATAATAGATAAACAAATTATGTTATATTTATAGAGTTTTAAAACAAATTTTTGCTCATTAAATTGTATATATTATTTATGTAATAAATTGTAATTTAATTAATATTTCTTCACAAAACCAAAAATGTATTCAATAATTTATTTTAGGAACGGCTCCTTTGGCGTTGCAAGAGTTGATGGTTAATTCATCAGAATACTACTACATACAGGTTAACAAAATATGCCTAATATTAATAATTCAATTACGATTGGCTTTTATATACTTTTGTGATGCAAATTTTTGTAAACTTTCCTAATTTTTATCTTAAAATATAGTGTAGAGATTTGTAATAAAACATCAATGAGGACAGTTTTTTCACAGTAGTATATGAAAATATACTATTCAAAATCATTAAAATTTTTTTTTCATTTATATAGTTTTGCATGAAACAAAATTAAAATGTCGAAGAATCAGAAACTGACTTCGTCAATTTTTTATAATAAATTTAAAAAAATAATAAAAGTTAGACCTACTATACAATTTTTAAAGATAATATGCTCTTCTATTTTTTATGAAAATTCGGTTAACTCAATAAAATCTCAGCCCATTGAGTATATTTTATTCGCGCAAACCATGTAATAAAACTATAAATGACAAGTGGGTTGCGTCCTCTTATGCACTACATAATCGAAGAAATATTTTATTGATTTCTCAGGATGAAGTCTACTCAGAAGAAGACACCTCCGAAATCGATAACGAACTTGGAGGAATTGCAGATCATCATTGTCATAATAAGGACTGTCACACCCTTGAACAACACCGTCTTACTGGTAATATAGCAAACTATAGCATTTAAAAAATCAGCTTAACAATTATTTTAAGTAACTACGTTAGTGAAGACAAGCATATAAAAATAATTAGGCTGTTTTACGCGTTTAATTAATTTACTGTAGAAGTAAGTAAAATAAATATCGAAAACCACCATGATAATAACTACATAAAACAATCGATATTGAAACGAAAAATTTTTATTGCTAAAAAAATAATCAACTCTAGTAATTTGTTTATAATTTTTTGTTTTTTATCAAGATAATTTATCTTTTTTAAATTAAAAATAAACAAAGTATATTTTATTTATAGATGATTTAAATGTTATCGTTCATTATAGAATATACTGTAATATCAATGTTATAATTATTGTAATTTAATTAAAATGTACTCTATTTATAACAATTTTTTATATTTCTTAGAAGAAAGTGCAGATCATCAATGTCAGAACAAGGACTGTCACACCCTTGAACAACACCGTCTTACTGGTAATATAGCAAACTATAGCATTTACAAAATCAGCTTAACAATTATTTTAAGTAACTACGTTAGTGAAGACAAGCATATAAAAATAATTAGGCTGTTTTACGCGTTTAATTAGTTTACAGTAGAAGTAAGTAAAATAAATATCGAAAACCCACCATGATAATAACTACATAAAACAATCGATATTGAAACGAAAAGTTTTTATTGCTAAAAAAATAATCAACTCTAGTAATTTGTTTATAATTTTTTGTATTTTTTAGCAGAGCACAACCAAGGGGCCGACAAAACAGTAATATTTATAATTTTTTTTCTATAGACAATACGATATTTATTACAGTATAGATTTTATTAAAATATATATTCTGGGCATCTCAGAAATGAGATGGTCTAAATCAGGAGTTTTTTAGACAGGGGAATATAGATCAATTTACTCAGGAACACAAGAAAGGAATGTTGGGTACAAAAGGTGTAGGAATAGTTCTTCAAAAAAAATGTGTCACAAGGTAAATGTATATGTGTAATAGAGCAATAGAATAGTTCTAGTCAAATTAGACACTAAACCAATAGATACTGTGATAATCCAAGTTTATATGATCACCGCTGAAGAAGAAGAGAACGAAGTAGAATATATAAAGAATTAAATTATTTATTAATGACCGTCAAAAGAGAGGAAAACCTTATAATCCTTAAAGACTTTAATGCCACTGTGGGGAAGGGAAGGTAAAGAATATTGTCGGCAAGTATGGACTTGGAATTAGGAATCCAAGTTGATATATCTTATTAGAGTTCCGTGTACGAAAAAATCTAGTAATAACAAACACACACTTCCAACATCACAAAAGAAGACTATATACATGGCAAGCTCCCGGTGTTATAAGAGGAGCACAAATAGATTATATACTTGTAAGAGGATGATATAAAAATCAAACTAAAGACATTAAAAGTTATCCAGGAGCAGATTAAAGAAGCAAGTATTAAAGAAGTTAATTTTGCATGCGTCAAAAATCCTTACTCGTATTGTGTTAAAAAGAACGGAACTAGTAATAGAGGGACTGCTAACTGAGGACCAATTTGGCTTTAGAAGAGAAAAAGGCACTAGGGAAGCTATTTTGGCACTAAAACAAGTTAAGAGAGAAAAGGATCTACAGAATATATTAGAAACAATGAACTCAGCAACAAAAAATGAAACAATATGAATATAAACAAAGTAAAAACTAAAGTTTTTGTTTGTAGCCGTAACGAAGTAACCCAAACTCAAATAACCCTAGATGGCGACACACTAGGGCAAGTGAATGAATACAAATATTTGAGAAGTAAGATAACCGACGACTTAATAAAGCAAGCAGAATAAGCCAGGCTAAATATGCATTTCAGGGGAAGAATAATACGTTTATATCTAGAAATATCGACATAAAAGTGAGGAAAACCCTACTAAGGACATATATTTGGAGCATAGCACTGTATAGAAGCGAGACATGGAAAATAGGTAAAACAGAAGAAAAAAGACTCCTAGCATTCGAGACATGATGTAGCAAGAGGCTACTTAGATAAGCTGGACAGAACACATAACAAATTAAGAAGTAGATCGAAGAGCCGGAGATCTAAGAATATTTCTGAAGACCTTAAAAACAAGAAGAGCCAAGTTAATTGGACACATACCGCGCCATAACAGTCTACTTAGTAAAATGATAGAGGTGCCATTGAGGTGAATAATAGTAAAGGGCGACCGCCACTGGACTACATGAGTCAAATAGTAAGAGATATGGGCTGCAGATCGTATTGTGTTCTAAAAAGAAAAGCGTCAAGAGTGGAAAATTACTGCCAACCAGCCTTTGGGCTGTTAACAAAAAAAGAAATTACGATAGGCCTTTGTATGCTTTTGAAAAGACGCACCTACCCATTTTTTTAAAGTAGTAATGTATAGAAAATTGTTCGTACAATTTAAATTTTGAACTTAAACTTATACTTAAAAGTACAGCAACGAAAACCATTTATATTGATTATAGTTTTTTTTGTTATCAGGCTATCACAGTAATTTCTATAGGAAAACAAAATATTTTCTACATTAATATAGTGTTGCGTGAATGAAAATTTTATATGTATTCGATATTTTATTTGACTTAATTTTAATAAATTATTTTAAAAAAATGCTTTTATATTTTTCTATGAAAATTCTGTGAACTTAATACTATTACATCCCATAGAATATATTAAAATATTTTGAACGCTTAAATATATATATTTTTATTCGTGCAAACCATGTTATCACATTACAAATAACAGGTGGATAACGTCTGTTTGTGCACTACATAATCTAAAAAAGTAATATATGATTTATTTTGTTGATATCACAGGCTGATCTCATATATACTACCTCTTCAGTAAGAGAATTTATACAGGAATTCACTCTGCTCGACGCTGACAAAAACGGTGCACTCGGTGACCATGAACTTATAGACCTTGTTAAAAGGCTTTCCCTGAACCAAGACATTGACGCTATTACTAAAAGATTCGATACCGATGGTAATATTGTAAATTATAGTTAAAACGAAATTAGCTTGATTATTTTAAATAACTATTACGGTGAGGACGAGCATAGAGTATGATTTAGGCAGTTTTAAGTGTGTAGATATTTTTACAGTGTGTAGATATTTTTACAGTGTGTATTAGTAAAATAAATCTCTAGATACCGCCTTGATAGTATCTACATAAAACGAACGATATTAAATCGATAATGTTTGTTTTGGTAAATAAATATGTTAGGCAAGAGAACATAAGAAAAAAATAATTTGTATTTTGTTAAAAAAAAAAAAAATAGATCTTCATCAAGGTTCGTTTAATTATCCAATCTCGTATCCAAAACCTACATAAAAAAACCAGTACAGTGGGGTCGGGGCATAGTGGGGACGGAGCATAGTTGGGTCGGGGCATAGTGGTGACGGGGAGGTCACAGGTTTACAGGAATTTTTAAATCTGAAAGTGATAAAATCACTTTCAAAAAAACGCTTCGATGCAAATCGGTAGTTAGTATTTTCAAGCCAGTACAGTCCAAACCAAGCACAGTATAAACCAGCATACTTAGAAAGTTTTAAATGAAGGTTCTGTACTTACAAATGAGCATCAAAGCGTTAATTTGAAAGTGATTTTATCCGAGAGGACTAGTACAGTAGAGTATTGGCATAATGTAATCAAAGCAATGAGGAAACGGAGAGGTCACAGGTCTACAAGAATTATTATAAATAAAAGTAATAAAATTGAATAAAATCGCTTTCAAATAAACGCTTTGATGCTCATTTGTAAATACAGAACCTTCATTTAAAACTTTCTAACTTTGCTAGTTTATACTGTGCTTGGTTTGGACTGTACTGGCTTGAAAATACTAACTACCGATTTGCATCGAAGCGTTTTTTCGAAAGTGATTTTATCACTTTCAGATTTAAAAATTCCTGTAAACTTGTGACCTCCCCGTCACCACTATGCCCCGACCCCACTGTACTGGTTTTTATTTCTTTTGCAAAAACGTAGTGGACCAAATAACACAAATACAATGTCTTGTTATATTTTGTTGGAATGGTCGACGATTCATGTTTCAATCGTATGTAGTCCATAGTTTAAATTATAATCGCTTATTCTCAATAAAATTAATATTTATGTATTATATACTTCCATTAGAGCAATCTCACACAAACTATTTATACTTCCTAGATTATATTATTTCAAAGCTATATTATACTTCTATTTTACTAGATTGACAATGTACAAAATCAAATGCAACTACAAAAACCTTTTCATAGATCCTTAAAATGTAAAGGGTGGGATAGTGAAACGGGTTTTCCCATTTAAATACATTAAAAAATCGCCGTGTTGCTGCCTCATCCTGTACATTAATTTCTTGTTATTTTCTAAAGAAAAATCGATTTTCTTACATTTAAATTAAAATAAATCGTATACTGGTACTGTGATGGAGAAAACAATAAATTTTACCTACATATATTACTTATTAGTTAAATATTACTAACGTGTATAGCCACTAGCGGTCGGCTGTTGCCTGTTATTTAACAATAACCTTTTATGGAGATTTTAAAAATTGTGTTTTTTTAAAATTAGCATAGGAGCAGTATCATGATGTTAAATGTTCACGAGATTCGATCTAGTCATAAAATAAAGTATTATCATTTATGACTTAATTATTATTAAAATTTATCTTAATTTGTACATAGTAATAAAATAAAGAAATATTTTATACAAAATTAGAGCTACAAGTTGATAAACTAAAAAATTAAAAATAGCACGAAGCAGATTATCTAATATTAGACAATTTAAACAATCAAACGTTAATCTCTTTAAATGAATAACAGTATAACAATATGCAAAACATTAGTTTTCCTTTAAAAAAATTGTGTAATAAAAAATACATTTTGAGGCGGTATACTGCATAAAAACCAACATTTAATCTGAATCCAAAATACAACAGTCCTCTTCATAATTTGCAGGTAGTTGGACCTTATATACTCATAGTTGACCTTCGGTAAGGTTATATAACGTAGGCTATAAAATAACGAGATAACGACAGTGGTTTTGTCGTATCAGAATCATTAAGTGTCTTAATAAGTACACGGATAGGTTTTTTTCCCAAAAAATCGAGTGTCTACTATAATCAGTTACACGATTTAGTCGTCTGTGATATCATGTAATAAACACAATATCATGATACCGATCATTGGGCCCTAACCTTATCTAACACGGATAGACGTTACCAACTGATACCTTTTAGTGTCTGTTCGTTTCTCCCATCTGGTACATCGGGTTTTTAGTTTAAAAAAAATATTTTTAAAAAAATTGAATTTGTGTTAACTTAAAGTCAAAAGTGGTACTTGAGCACAAAACTTAATAGTATCATTCTGCATAGATATACATAAAAAAATTTTAATGATTTGATCAATTTTTTTTAAAGATTTTAGGTGTTTTTGTTAAAATATACAAAATCTGCGAAAACACAGTTTCCCGGCAATTAAAAAAAAACTGTAGTGCCGAATTTTTTTCTCGTTTAATATGTTATGGATACATATGAGTTCCAACTACTGGCAAATTTTCAACCCAAAAATTTTAAAATTACGGCTAAAAACCCCGAAAAACAAAAAAACTTGTACCCCCCCTAGGGGGGTGGGAAATGGGTATAGTTTAAATTTGACACAACTGACGTGTGCGGGCATACCAAATAATTATTTCTTATACGTTTCAACTCAATCCGACTCTTTTTCTCAAAATTATTGCCAGTAAAAGTTCTAACTTAAAAACTCGTACGGTTTTTTTTTTGTTTTTTCAACTTTCGTCTGTGAAGACTTAAACTTTTTCAACTTTTACCCCCCCAAAGTACAAACTAGACAAAATTTGTGATTTATAAAGTTGCTATTCGAAGGAATTGGTCTAGTATTAAAAAAGTTACATTGTATACAGCTAAAAAAAAAGCCCACATCAGAGTAAAACCAATACCTTCTCGCTTTGCATCGAAGCTAAAAAAGGGAAGAGTATCCATTAGTTTAAGATATGCGACTGGTAATGAGATAAATTCTTGGGTTTTTTTTTACATCGTTAGGTTGTATATTTTAAGAATACAGTAATTACATTTTTGCTATTTGGATATTTTCATGATTTCCACGAGACAGGAAAGGTGTGATTTTACTATTATAAAAAGTATCATCTAAATAAGACTGCTGATGTTTCCACAATAATTATTGTGATATTACAATAGTTTAAAGTAGATTTAGAGATAAAATTAAATAAACTTGTTAACTAGAAGTAATGTACTTTTTAGCCAGCCGTCAATTGGACGTAGTAGAGTTCTTCATGGTGGCAGTAGAAATAAATCTAATAATAATCGATCCGGATACGTTTGATTATAGCAAGTATCATGAAGAGAATAATGCGAAAATTAATAACTATGTGAATTATAAGAAATATATAGCTGAGCTCCAATAAATGTTTAATGGTTCTTTTTCAAAGTGGTTTATTTTTATATGCATGTATTGATAATATAAGATTTTTAAGTTTGTTTTTGTCAATCCATAAAACGATTAAATAAATAATGTAATACCATAAAAATTACGTTTTTATTTCGAAATCATTATAATTACCTATCCTAGGTCTTGAAAGCCGTCTAGTCACTGAACAGCACAAGAAACAAGTATTCATAATATAGGTTAAAAACAGTCTAACAACATTTTAGAAGTGTTAACACTATAGATAATGGAGTCCATATTTATTTTACATTTATGGGGTGAAGGAAAACATTTACAAATTGTAGAAAAATATTCAAACTATCTGAGAAAATTATTAGAATCAATTTTTTTATATTAGTTTTCACCAAAAAAATTGTACAGCTCGGCAATTATAAATATTATATTACAATTGACATTCTTAATAAAACAGAAAGAAAAAATACAATTATTTTATCTGAATAAAAACTGTGTAACAGCTATTAATAATAATAAAAGGAAAATAATAGAAGCAGTACATATGTCGTTTACGTGGGTTGAGTGATAACTTTGCTACAGGTTTTTGTCGCTTTTGGCGAATATGTATGGAAATTATATTTTCGTTCTTTAAACAATTTTAAGCGGTCATTATGGTCTTCTGATTTTCCCACTCTGACAATCAAGTGAGTACTCGTAGACTTGAATGAAAACTTACTCAGTCCAACCGAGGCCAAATCTTTGAAAAATGTGTAACATTATATTTTATCAATAATGCCGGCGGACGCTGTGTTAATAATTTGTTTGGTAATGTCGTCGACGCTGTTTCGAACATAATCGTGTCAGGGGGTGTACCTTCTTTCGAAAGCACTCAGTTATACTTATTTCGAGACGAAAATACTTATTTCTCGTCTGTTTTGACAGGTTAACATAATATTGACCGATGCAACCGGACTGTAGAATCAAATTATGTCAAAACATCAAAGTACAGCCAATGTGTACAATAACCTTCCAAATTTATTTTTTTTCATTTTGTTTAATTATAGAATGGAAGATAGAATGAAGTAAGATCATTTTTTTTTTTTTTTGTAAGATTAATTTCAACAACTCGAAATCGAAAAAGTATTTGATCATATTATATATAGAATGTGAAGATTTAGATTTTTTATTTCTTATCAAATCCCAATGGACAGTTGCTGCAATATCTAAAATTTTATATTTGTATTTTGTTTAGTGGAAAAAAACGGGAAACTATTGAAATTATGCATATGAATTTTTGTTTTCTACACCAGAATGTTATACCTAATTCTTTTTTTTGCACGCGGGTATGTACAACTAACAGGTAACTGTGTGGACAAATACCTATACAGAACATGAGATCAAAACGTGTTTTTTCCGTGTTAATTCAATAGGGAATAATAAATTATACAATTTACAACGTGATTTTAAGACGTTCCCGCATAATAAAATAAATGAATATGTTTTAATTTAAAAGTAATATCTTATAATATGTACAGACTGTACAGATATTTTTTTTGTTCCATCGATACACGCTTAAGTCGAATTACGGTTGAATAGCACTTGTGGTTTGCGTTTATTTGATTAAGCCAAGGTTAAACGACAAAATCTGTCAACACCAACTGTAAAAAAAATATATAGTAGGTTGTAAGCCGGTGTACTTAAGTAAAAAAATACGTTACCTATAGCAAAACGCTGCAAGTAAATAATATTTTTATGAGAATCATGATATGCTACATTTCAATCTTCAATCTTATTTCTATTAAAAATCCTAATCCCGTTTTCCTGAACAATGGAATGCATAATATTAACCATTTAATAATTTATTGAACTCATTTTATTCAAATACAATAATATAAATTATTAATGAACTGGAAAAAACCGCTGCCAAATTATACTGATCTAATACAATATGCCCTTGGGTTATAAAAGATAAAATACTTTTTTAATTATTATTCTTATTCATACGTTCAAAGTAAATAGCTAACCCACGCTTGCTAAATTTTTTTTTTTCAATGAAATCCCACACTTTGTGTGTTTAAACCCTATTTATTTTAATTCATTTATTATCTTAGCTTTTTAAATTAAGAACAATTTTCTAAAAATTAAGCTAAATTTAATTTAATTTTAATTTAACTTAAATTTACTTTTATATTGCAAAATGTGTAAATTTGTTGAGAGTTTTTCTACGATTTCTAAGATGAAAGGATGACTTATAATTTTTGTGCCTTGCAAAGTACCTTACAGGTACGATTTCTGTACTAAAAAATTGGTCAACAGACAAAAAAAAAATGATAAATAAATAATATAAACACATCATGATAAAAACAATATATTCTCAGATAAGCTGATCATTTAGATTTAATAGAATATCGATACTAGAAGAAATGAAAAAAAAATTCAGATTATTTTGACAAATTTTTAGCGATCAAAAAATCATTGATTTCTATCACTAAATGTTCACACTGTTAGCCATCCCCTCCGGGCTCGCAGTTAAGAACCAACAATTTTTTTACCGCAGTCTGAACCTGAATATCTTACATAAGCGGACAGTCTTGAACAAGTCCAATTTGAACTAAACTTTGCCATTTTTACCGCCAAAATAGTCGACTTGGATAGATACATGTAGAACCGACTACCTGCTGGAAGACACCCATGTATAACCAAAAATACTCCATCCTGGCTACTAGGCATAGTTTTGGATATTTTATTTTTTCAAATATGGCAACATAACAGGTGGGTTAATATTACATTTTTCTTATATTTATTAATCGAACTTCACGCTCATATACACATGCGAGAGAACTTAAAGATAATACATCGAACAAGATTGTGTCTAAATTAGCTGCTCAATATAAAAACACACAGTTGAATCAGAAGTTTACATAAAAATCGGAGGTGTACTCTAATTAAGTACACCGTTGTAACAGCGCGTTCGATGATATGATTGTATTAATTATTCATTCATACGAATTCCCCAAGGCAAAAGCATATAAAATAAATACACTCAATTAAAAAAATTATATAACTTAACGACTTTATAACTTAAAGTGTCTCAGCCCCCAAAAAACCTAGAAATCATCAAAAAAACTGAAAAATACATCATTTTTAACAAAATTATCTATTTTCTAAAAATTTGGGGGAGGCCCGAGACCTCCATTAGGTAGGGAGCCATGGCCCCACTTACACAATTTGAAATTTAGCAACCCTATCCTAGAAAATGCCAGTTGTGTGGATAAGTTTGGTGACTATACGCATTATTAAATAATTTTATTATCCTTTGAATAAATGTAATCGTATAGTAGGTATAGTGTATAAAACATTTTTTTTTATTATTTAAAAGAATAATATTGTTTTATAAAGCTTCTAAAAACATTTATCGTTCGCTATATTGTTATTGTTTTTTGGACGATGTAAAACAAATTTATTGTACTTCACTTAAGTAAATATGCAGTATTTTTCTGGCTTACACTGTGTTTAATACTATACATTTGGGCCAAAAAACAATTTTAAAGGTTTATAATATGTAAATAAAATGAATCAAAAAACAACTGCTAATCTATATTTTTATACTTATGTTGTTTTTAACAATCGCGTTATACAACGTCTTGAATCGAATTTCACTGATCATCCGACTTCGGTATCGAAGACTTAATTCTGGTTTAACAAAGTGTTTGAAAAAAAGCCACTATGCATTTTATAAGTGCTGTTATCCTTTGTGCGTTGTACTTCGTAACAGTGACACAGGTTAGCATAAAACATTATAATAATTATATTTGTAATAAAAAGAAAATGTTAATTGTACGTAATATTAATTCATTGTACATATTATAATACTTTATAGAGTATCGGACTCCTTAAAGTTCAAATTAAACATATTGTTGCGGTATTCAGTGGTTACAAAGATTGTAAAAACGAAATTCCCATGAAAGAAGTTTTGGACATGACAAAAATGATGGGCGTAAAAAATATGACTTTTGAATTTAAAAAAGGTAATAAATTATCTTTTAAAACTCAGTTTAAACATTTTGGTTGTCATAAAATATTAAATCAGCCACCCAAAATATTGTCTGTTCAAATAATACCGTTCTTTCAAGAATTTATCAATTTTTTAGTTTAAAGCACTTGTCTTGACTAGCTTAATTAAAATCTGTTTAGAATTTTTTCTATTTTATTTTGCACTAACAGATATGAACAACAATCAAAATCTACAAGATCTTTTGGTATTTCTGGCCAATAGCGAAAAAAAAACTGACAGATGGACGGTAATGACGAAAAAAAATATTAAACTATTTCAAACTTGTCTGATTTTCTTACTTCCATGCACGGTTTTTTACATAGTTCCGAATGTTAACATCTTTCGAAGTACAACTATTAGTTAGCCTGTTCGAGGCACGCGACCGAATGGGCAATAACGATGGTCTACTTGAGTACAGCGAAGTATTACAAGTCATTGATGCTTTAGTGCTAGAAAGTAAAGTCAGAATGCTTTTAAAAGCAGAATTTCAAGAAGGTATTATTGAGTTAACGATGCGGTTTATTATGTTGCCAAGGTTGATAATTTAAATTAATTTTTATAGGTGATGAAACAATTAACGCAGTGGAGTTCTTAAATGGGTATTTGGCTGCAAAAAGAAGTGTAAGAATTTATGGTTTCGTTAAAGGCTTGACAAATTATTATTATTTTGTCTGACACGGCATTTGAACATGTGTCAGAAAAAAACATTTTTTCAATTTTAGCGCATTAAAAAAACCACACCAATTGGTATATTTATATGATTTTAATACTTGTAATTAGGGCAAAGGGTTAGACAAGAAACAGATTGATGAGCTGATCAAAATTAAAGATCACAAAAAAGTTGGCGAACGACTTGATCCCGTTGAAATAAAACAATTTTTCATTAATTTATCTCTAGTTAAAGATGAGTACAAAAGCCATTTGGATTTTAAGACCACTCGTAAGAAAACATTTTTGATATTATCTAGTTTTTTTTTTTAATAACATTATATGCAAAGTTTGCAAAATAATTTCATCAAATTGTATTATTTTATTAATTAAGAAAACATCAATAACATTTTTTTAAATTATTTAATACCATTATTATTTCTAACATGCAGTTTATTGATGTTTAAATTAATCTAGATAATGTATCATCTATTATTAATAAATAAACAGATTTTGTTATATTTATAGAGTTTCAAATGATGTTTTGTTCATTAATTTTTATTTATTAATTATGTAATTAATTATAATTTTTTTAATATTTATTAATTTTTTTTTAAATGTTTCCTGACTGATTTTATGAACATATTTTAATAAAATAAAAAATGTACACAATATTTTGTTTTAGGAACGGTTCAATTAGTGTTACAAGAGCTAGTGGTTAATTCATCAGAATACTACTACAGACACATTAATGAAGTGACTAATATTAATAATTTCAATACGATTAACTTTTATATGCTTTTATGAGGACGCAGCCGCCTATTTATTATAAGAGTAAAGTATAGGACATTTATTGTAAAATCTTATTTTTATATTAAACTACACATAGTGTATTCTCATCAATACTGCAATGTCAACGGTTTATTGCTTACAGTTTTTTTGTTGTCAGACTATTACAGTAATTTCTATAAAAAAAACATTAAATTATTTTTTTATTAATACAGATTTGGTTGAATGAGAAATAAAAGTGTCGACAAATTCGACTAATTTTTAATAATGTCTTAAAAAAATACTAAAAAAACTTTATTTTTAAAAAGTATTTAAATTTTCCAAAAAAATGCCATACATAATATGCTCTTATAATTTCTTTTGAATTTCGGAGAACTTAATAATATCAAAGCCCATAAAGTATATTTATTCAAACATACTTAATACAAACAACAAGTGGATTGCGTCCTCCTGTGCACTACATAATCCAGAAAGGTACTATATGAATTACTTTGTTACTTTTTTAGGCTGGAAACGTATCTCCTACCCCTTCACTTGAAGACATTTTTGAGAATGGCCCCGACATCGGTGTACTAGGTAAAAAAGAACTTTTAAACAAAACATATTTTGTTATTTAATTTTTTAAGTACAAATGAATTAACACTAATATTGTTTGTTTTGAATTTTATGCAACTACTATTATTCTTTCCATAGATTTTTCTATTTTTTTTTTTTTTAAGATAGATATGTTTTTGGGCTTGGGGTCATTCTGAAATTCGTGTTACGATTTCGTGTAATCGATATCCCCAACAAAAAACTAACAGTGAAAAAAGGCCAAGTCCCCCCCCCCCCCAAATTGTCAGCTTATCAAAGTAGTGATATCTACATTTTGGCCAAGTCTGCTATTTTTTTAGTTCATAACCACACTTCACTCCTACTTTCATGAGCAACACTGCTCTTTTATTTGTACTGCTTAACACTTGGTCAGTTTTGAGAATGAAAATATATGTATATGAATATATATATATATATATAATGTACATATGTAAATAAAACTACACATTGTAGTGAAGCTAGAATTTATACAAGTAGCCACTATGCATGATGGTTGTTTAATCGACCGCCCGGATATCTATAGACGGGTTGGGTCGGATTATAGCGTGGTTCAATTTTCAAAGGATTCTTAAGATAAAGGGGGATAAAGTGGACTGTATGGTATGGATAAAAGATGGTACTAAACAATAAATAGATATGTAGAAATTAAATGCAATAAAAGTGTATGTATTAACAAATGATAATATTAATGTAAAGCTATTAAATAATGGGGACAGGGGGGAGAATACTTATAATCTAATGCCATCCGGCGCAACAATATAGAACAACAAATATATTATAATAGATGGTACTTATCGACCATTGATTATTTGCACGGGTTGACGTTGATTCGATGATGACAACATACATGAATCTTCCGACACACACACCACCGGTCGGCTGGGCGAGCTAATTATGCACCAAGGTGCATACGAATCGCATGGGCGATTTTATTTTAATGCGTACGGAGGTACGAGCGAATCGCTAGGGCGATTTCAACAAAACACGACTATGTGTAGTCCGGGCGAATCGCTAGGGCGATTAACTATAATGCGTACAAGGGCACGCGCGAATCGTTAGGACGATTAACAACACAAATGATTTTTGCTAATTAGCGACCATGAGGCGAAGGCTAATATGGCGGCGATGGAAATCGGCGCTCGCGTCGGGAACCAAAACGTTCGATGCGCACACCGGACAGAAGAACGAGCGAGAGTGTATCGAAAAGCGTTATATTAACTCTATCCCGTAAACCGGTGGTGGCGGCACAGACAGGGTAGCCAATTCACCACATACGTGTGTGTGTGTAAGCGGATCCAACATACTCCCAGCGTTGAAAGTTGAAGGCTTTCAAAATCCCACGTTCTTCACGTGATCAATAGGTGATATTAAATTAGCTTTTGACTTAAAATTATTACTTAAAATTATTACAATACTTTTTTTTAATGTACCAGGAAAGTTTTAGGAAAGGATTAAGAAGAGGGCAACTTGACGAGTTTTACTACTGGCCGTTTAATAACTCCATTTTGCGTTTTTACAGTTACGGTACGGACGATCGAATCGGAACCGGGATGGACCTCAATTACGCGCCCGAGATGCCAATCGGTAGGCGAACGGTTTGGAGCTTCAACGATTACGAGGTCGTTAATTGATAAGTTTGGCGTTGTACTGTACCATTTGAGACGGCCTTGTAATGTACTCAAGTACTCCTTTGTCCAGCGTACCCAAAACGATTGATGTAGCTGTTTTAAGAGCTCCCAGCGGTGAAGACGGTTGGTTTTGACATTTGTAAAATCCTTCTCCGGTAAGGCCATTATTGGTTGGCCGACTAAAAAATGACCCGGTGTTAGGGCACATAGATCATGCGGATCGGACGATAAGGACGATAATGGTCTCGAGTTAAGAATGCCTTCGATGCGTGTAACGAGAGTATGCAATTCTTCAAACGTCAAAACTTGTTGACCAATAACATGTTTTAAGTGATGTTTTGTACTTTTTATAGCGCTTTCCCATAAGCCACCCATATGCGGCGCGGCAGGTGGGTTAAAATGCCATTGACACGGTACCCGAGTCATAACAGCCGATTGCGTATTAATGTCATTAAAAAGTTCTTTTAATTGACGCGCTGCTCCGATATAATTACTGCCACAATCTGAATATATGTTACTGGGTATACCCCGGCGGGCGACGAAGCGGTCTAACGCGGCTAGAAAAGCATCCGTTGATAAGTCAGACACGATTTCTAAGTGGATGGCTTTCACGGCCATACAAATAAATAAAGCCAAATAACATTTTTGTGTACGGGCATTGCGACGGCGACTTTCTTTGATTATAAAGGGACCTCCATAATCCATGCCGACGTTCATGAACACTCGGGTGGATTGAACGCGCGCTAGGGGCAGGTTGCCCATCAACGGATTAGGGTGTTTGGCCTTATGACGTATACATGGGACACACGTATAAATAAAATGTCTTACCGCATCGCGACCGGAAAGTATCCAAAACTTACGTCGCATCATTGATAAAACTAATTTTGGACCGGCATGTAAATATCCCTGATGGTAATGCTTGATTATTAGTTCAGATAAGTGTGACGTTTTAGGTAGTAGAACGGGATGTTTTGCGTCTGCGTCAAGCGATGCGTAGCGAAGGCGGCCACCAACTCGTATAAGTCCGTCCGAATCAATGAATGGTGATAATTGGGCCAAAGATGCAGGTGTAACAACAAATCGACTTATTAATTGCCTTTTGAGATCATTAAAATATCTTTGTTGAGTCAACCGTACAGCTTGGTTTAAAATATAATGAAGTTCGGAAAATGACAGAGGGCCGGTCGGTGTAGGCTTAAAGCGGAAACGATATACATAGGCGAGCGTCCTTTGCATACGGGTTAGCGAAGAAAAACGGTGTATAATTTGATCGGCGGCGGTTTCATTGTCAGCGTTAATAAGTATTACGGCCCTTTGTTGATAATCTGGTAATTGTTCCGGCTTTAATAGGTCACACTTATGTCGCGGCCATTGTTCAGCAGGTAATCGTAAAAACGTCGGACCCTCTCGGTGAATGTCACACAAGACCATTTCATGGGGTAATAAACCACGCGATGCCGGGTCCGCCGGGTTATCGGTTGTATTGATATAAGACCATTTACAATCCGGTAATAATTGTTGTATTTTTGCGATTCTGTTCGTTACAAATACTTTAAATGATTTTTGGCTGACCGTTAACCACGACAACACTACCGTAGAGTCGGTCCACGCATAAATATTTGAAATATCAATGTCTAGACAGGTTTTTACGCGATTTAATGTAGTAGCGAGTAATAGAGCAGCACAGAGTTCGAGGCGCGGCACTGTAGTTTGACATTTAGTGGTTTTGATTGGTGCTACTTTGGTCTTACAGGTGACGAAATTCACCGTGGCATGACCGGAACTGTCTACCACCCGCAAATATACAACGGCCGCGTAGCCACGTAGCGAGGCATCGGAAAATCCTACTAATTCAATTTTCGAATACACGCGCATGTCGATATGTCGAGGCAACATTATTTTATCGATTGACGGCAACTCTTTTACAAATTGACCCCATAACTTATCTAAGTCCTCTGGTAAATTACTGTCCCATTCAAGACTCGCTTGCCATAACCTTTGCATAAAGGCCTTTGCCCATAAGAGTATAGGTCCAAGCGTGCCTATAGGGTCGAAAAGTCTGGCGATTGTAGAGAGTACCTTGCGTTTTGTGAAAGGACGATCAGATTTAATATTAGTATGATAGGCAAACATATCCGAAGTAGGGTCCCAATGCATACCTAACACTTTTACGGCCGAATCATTTTTTGGGTCTAAAAACAACAGCGTTGAGTGATCAGCACAGTCTACTTGTCGAAGTGCTTGAGGCGAATTACTCGTCCACTTTTTGAGAGAGCAGCCACACGTCTTTAAAAGTCCTATCAAGTCGCTTTGAATTATTAACAATTCCTCAACGGTGTCAGCGCCGGCTACAATATCGTCGACGTAAGTGGATTTGGTCAATACACCCTTAGCAGCAGGAAAATCGGACCCATTTTGAGCATCCAACTCGTTTAAGCATTTAATGGCGAGGTATGGAGCGGACGTAACTCCGTACGTAACTGTACATAGCTCATATTCGACAATCTCGGACTCAACTGAGTCCCGCCATAAAATATACTGATACCGGCGGTCTGAGTCACGCACTAGTACCTGGCGATACATTTTTGTGATATCGGCGGTCAACATATAGCGCTTAAGCCTACACTTTTGGAGAATGTCAAAAATATCGTTTTGGAGTTTAGGACCCGCTAATAATACGTCGTTCAGTGAAAACCCGGTTGATGTGGCGGCACTCGCATCAAACACCACACGTAATTTATCAATATTTTCTCCATCGCGTTTCACTACGGCGTGATGCGGTATGTAATAATAACCAGACTGAGTAGCCGGTCTCATATGACCAAGGGCGGCGTACTCGGCCATAAAAGCACGATATTCGGCGTACAACGCAGGGTCTTTAATCAAACGCATTTCTAAATTATAAAATCGCTTTAGAGCTACCGCGCGTGAATTACCGAGGCCGTGATACGGCGGCACTGTGTCAAATGGCTGGTTGACACTATTAGGAAGACAAACGGAATCGCGAAATGGAAGTGCTACACAAAACCGACCATCATTTGCTCGCGTAGTTGTTTTTGAAAACCACTCTTCACATCGTTGTTCTTCCGTTATCGACTCAATTGGTGTTGCGGCTTCCTCTATAGCCCAAAAGGAGCGCATAAGGTCATCTAATTTTACTGATGCCACTGATAAAGAATGAACAGGTGAGGTACTTTGTTCTTGCAATGAACCGCATACTATCCAGCCAAAATGTGTGTTTATCGCGGACGGCAAACCGTTGTGGTGTATGATGCCGCCACGAGGCCGCATTACGTGTGGGAATAAGTCACCGCCTATTAACATGTCTATCGGCGCGGGTGTATCGAATGTGGGATCAGCTAACAATAGATGTTTATAGCACTCGCGGACGGCGGACGGCAACGGTGATGTAGGCATGGTCGTTGTTATTTGCTGTAGTATTATGACATCGTTGCAACAAAAGGACGGTTCCAATTGTTGTCGCGGTAAAAGATAACAACTCGTTTCTCCATTTACTTCAGTGACAGGGTTTTTTCCAAGGCCCCTAATACTACGTAAGCATTTGCGTCTGGTGAGACCAAGCCGAGATGCACAACGAGTGGTTATTGCCGACACCTGCGAGCCACTATCTAACAAAATACGAATTGCCTGATAATTACCCCGACTATCACGTGCACGAATAACTGCGGTACCTAATACGACGGTATGATTTGCTTGCGATAAACCACAAAATTCTTGAACTTTAGGTTCTGAGGTATCTGGAGTTTCAGTACTTGATGGGTTAGAATGAAGTAGAGTATGATGGCGTTTTTGACATTTTGAGCATGATAATTTAGATTTGCAATCAGCGGCGCGATGCATGCTACTCAAACACGAAAAACAAAGACTTTCTTTGACAGCGGCCTCGCGTCGTTTTTCTATTGCGTATGATCGAAAAACACTACACCGATATACCGGATGGGAGTCTGAGCAAAATGGGCATTTTTTAAAAACTTTCGGTGATCCGGTGGTCCCGGTTAATACAGCTCTCGGTGGTGTATATTTTTTGTTAGAATTATTTTTATTAACGCTATTGTAGCCCTTAATGTTCTCTAAAATACGACAACGCTGGCGAACAAAGATAATTAAATCGTCTATGTTTGGGATATTAGATTGCGTCACCGTGGCTTCGAATAAACGGCGTGTTTCTGGGTCTAATACCTTAGCGGCCATATAAAATAATAAAAAACCCGATAAATCCTCCACACCGAGATTTTTTATGGCTGTTACATTATCATTAAACACATCAATAAAACCATTCAATGCGGATAATGACTCTGTAGCAATAGGTTTGAACGAAAATATTCTATCTAAATGTACCGATGCTAAGAGCCGTTGATTTTCATAACGCGTTATGAGAGCGCCCCACGCGTCGTCATAATTGGCGGCCGAGAGTGGGAAGGACTTTATTGTGTTTAACGCTGGACCCGATAAACATGATAATAATAGATGAAATCTGTCGATTTTATTAACATTTCTTGCGGAAACAAAAGACTCAAACCGTTCATAGAATGATCGCCATTTTTCGGGACTACCATCAAATTTAGGCAAATCAAAATTCGGTAAATATGTACTGTATTGCGGTTGAGGCGTTATAGGTGTCGATATGTTACTCGCGGAAGTGACTGGCGTTAAAACTGAATTGATTTTAAAAATAAGCGTCTCCATTACGTCAGTAACTGGAGAATCAATACATTCGAATTCTTCGATCAAATCTCGGTCAACCGAAGCTTCAATTACAGCATCTTGGTGTAATCGAAATTGCATAGCAAGGGAATCTAATTGTCGAGAACGAATTTCTAATTCAGGCGTTAGTGATGGGTCACTTTTCGCCCTTTCCGCGATCGCGTATATTTCTTTTATCGATTTTAACGCACGATCGCGTGATAACCGAGCGATAACAAGCGCCTTGTTGTTACCCGTGGTTTTTGCACCTTTTTTCGACATGATTACGTTTTAAGAAAATCCGGCCCGAAGGACCAAAATGTTTAATCGACCGCCCGGATATCTATAGACGGGTTGGGTCGGATTATAGCGTGGTTCAATTTTCAAAGGATTCTTAAGATAAAGGGGGATAAAGTGGACTGTATGGTATGGATAAAAGATGGTACTAAACAATAAATAGATATGTAGAAATTAAATGCAATAAAAGTGTATGTATTAACAAATGATAATATTAATGTAAAGCTATTAAATAATGGGGACAGGGGGGAGAATACTTATAATCTAATGCCATCCGGCGCAACAATATAGAACAACAAATATATTATAATAGATGGTACTTATCGACCATTGATTATTTGCACGGGTTGACGTTGATTCGATGATGACAACATACATGAATCTTCCGACACACACACCACCGGTCGGCTGGGCGAGCTAATTATGCACCAAGGTGCATACGAATCGCATGGGCGATTTTATTATAATGCGTACGGAGGTACGAGCGAATCGCTAGGGCGATTTCAACAAAACACGACTATGTGTAGTCCGGGCGAATCGCTAGGGCGATTAACTATAATGCGTACAAGGGCACGCGCGAATCGTTAGGACGATTAACAACACAAATGATTTTTGCTAATTAGCGACCATGAGGCGAAGGCTAATATGGCGGCGATGGAAATCGGCGCTCGCGTCGGGAACCAAAACGTTCGATGCGCACACCGGACAGAAGAACGAGCGAGAGTGTATCGAAAAGCGTTATATTAACTCTATCCCGTAAACCGGTGGTGGCGGCACAGACAGGGTAGCCAATTCACCACATACGTGTGTG